AGCTCTTAACGTCATTAAAACATGACAGTAATGATACAACCGATGTTTGTGCTGTGTTCCAGCATTTACACGGTGTAGTCTAATTTTATTTATATACAAACCTGTTTAAATGCTACAGTATGGTATAGGCAATACACTTTCATGTGAGTGTAGGAGTCATGCCAAAGGTTGGCACAGTTCAACTTTATGGTAGTTTGTTTAAGTGGCCCGTGACCAGGCGTCTTTTGAATATTTGAGCTCCTTGTGTTCTGGACGTAAGTGACTTTTGACAGGAAAGCCTACCATGCTTAAATAGATGCAATAAGAAACAGATGTAAAGATGTAAAGGGAATAATGAGTGGAAGTGAAAGAGAGAAAAAAAGAGCGAAGGGGAAGTGAAGGGAGACGGATCTGACAACATAGGAAGAGAAAAACTAAGAACAGAGGGATGGATGTGAGGGTTTAACAGGGTGAAGCACAATGAGTCGTGTGCGTAGAGAAGTCAGAAAAACCAAGTCTATAAAACACTGATACAGCCTTCCTTCTGTGTTTTTCAATAAAGTAGTTGGTAGAAAAGCTGTTCCACTTGATATCTCTGATTCAGTGACGGATAAAACATTTCTTTGACCTCCAGTCAGTGATCACATGACCATATACACAGAAATCTGCTGCTTTTATCAGAAAAATCAAAAACCCTCTTTATGTCAATATGACAGTATTACAAATCTTTTGCTTCAGCAACTCTTTCAATAAAATGTTCTTGATATTGTAAAACTCTCCCTGATACTGTCAATGAGAATTTACAATAGACACTCTAGATTCAACATACCGTGATGTTAATATTTCTAAACGAGCAGAAAGAGAAAAATGAAGCAAAAGAGAAAAAAGAGGAACAGTAAGAATGAGAGGCCATGAGATTAACAGAGAGGAAACACACTTATTTTGAACTCTCTCACGTCTCTCTGCTCTCCCTGTCTTCCATTTCCAAATATATCATGAGTGTCACACCTGAGACAATTTCTACAAAATATGGAAAGAGGGCGTTTGTGTGTGAGTGTGTTTAAGTGTGTATGGAGTGCTTTTCTGTCTGTCAGTGTAATGAGACACCAAATGCATGCAGGTATACATTCAGAACAGGATGCAGCTCCAGAGGGTATTGTCTCTCTCAGACAATTATGACTGAGTGACTGAGGAGTGTGTGACGCAGATATGTCAGGCAGATGGGCTTATGGGGTCTATATGGTACATGCGCACACACAGCTGCCCCCTCTGCAGTCGTGTGTGTGTGAGGCTCATAATCATTCTGCATGGTGAGGAGAAAGGTGACTTGTTGTATCTGTGGTACAGTCACTAGCAGGGAGCTGCAAGCCCTTGTGTGCAGGGTTTCAAAAGCTGACGAGCAGGTGCCATGCCTGTGTGCAGGTGTAATTGCAGGGATTTTTGAGAGCACACATACAATAACCCACACATCAAGAAGCGGTGAAACAAAGACAGACACTATTGGTAAATCGGTATTGTCCTGAAAACTTCACTGTCAGTCAGGTCATACACTAATCACAGTGTGTAAATTGTTTATGCACAAAATCCTTAGAAGACCTTGCTAATGAGTACCACAAAAGAACATTAAAGTTAAAACCAAGATATGGATGTAAATAAACGAAACTCTTACAACAAAACAAGCAAGTTCTCACAGGGAAAAGACTGCTACACTTCCATTAGCACAGCAACGTGTTACAGAAAGATCAACAAATCGATATCAGTGATTGGAGGGTGATAAGACTAACAATCACCAAACAAATTCAAATGTCATGCACAAATCAGCCAGAAAAGTTTACAGCCAGTTGACCTTACCAAGTGAAATATCAAGAAAAGCCAGAGAGGGAGAAGAATGACTAGGCAGATAATACTTACGGTACAGAGAAAAAAAAAAACATTTTTGCAAAACAAAAGGAAAGTACAGAAAGAGAGGAAAGACTGCAAATGCATGTAAGGGAAGGAACAGTTTAAAAAAGTGAGACAAAGAGAGGGAACTGTGAAATAGAGCATGTACAGTATGTAACATACAGAGGTTAAAAATTGTCATCCTACCTCCGGCGATGGCAGTCTTCTTGCCAACCGCCACAGTGACAGCAGTGGTAGCAATCACTGTCATCCCTGCTGGGAGGGCAACACACACTATTAGCAAGAATGTACTGCAGTCCATTGTATCAATGCATGTAGAAACATGGGTGCATGCATGTACTTCACAAGCACAAATATTCCTTCTAAATGCATACGCATGTATGCACAAGGAATGAAAAGCAAAATATGAAATATTTATTTTCCCACATTCTGATTACCTCATATGATCATCTGTGAACACACACAGTGATAGTAACAGCCGAAGTGTTAATAAGACATGCCAAAACAAACTATGTGGGTGACAGATTGACTTGGACTGGGGAGGCAACATCTAAAAAAGTCATCCATGCCTCTTCTGTGTGTCAATTCACAGCCATTGCGCCAGCAGATGCCAAGTGTCAACAAACCAAAGATTCCAGCCAGATTAACATTTTAAGCATTATGTAACACAGAATATGAGAGCTAATTGACCAATGCACTCATAACAGATGGGCTCTGTGTGTGCATTATATGTTTCCATGCTTCCGTTATACCCCCCTTTAAAACAAAACCGGTCATAATAAATATGATGACAGTACAGTAGCTGTTAAATGTGTCAGTCTGGAGCAGCTAATAATTCTTCATGGCAGCAACATTCACAGAACATGAACACAAATGGAATACCCATCCTGGCTGAACTAAACCTTCAGGACATTTTGCCTCAGTAAGAAAAAATTATTCAAATGTCCTATATCTGTGTAAGACACTGTGTTGATACAAACTACATAAAATTCACAGTGAAGCAAAGAGACATGAGCCTGTCACCGAGGGATTTTTGTCTCAACCTGCAGAATATGGCTGAGAAAACTGGAAAAAAAAAATAGCACAAACAGTGTTTTGTGTGTCTGTGCGTGTGTGTTTGCTCAGTAAAGGTATCTCTATTATGCTGTCTAGGCATGTAGTATAGAAACTGTCCAGCTGGGTGCTCGGCTGCTCTGCGGTACCACACTGGGAAATGGTCCAACGTGAACATATTCTCCTTGTCTGTGGAGGTCAGGAAAGACCTGTGGAGAAACAAAAAAAAGCTTTAAGAAAAACCTAGTACCTGCCTGAAAGTGATGCCAAAAGCTAAGAAGGAAGAAGGAAAAGGAGGACATGATAAAGAGAATAACAAACAATGTAAATTTAGGGAAAAATTAAGGAAGAACAAATATGAGTAAAGTATAATACAGTAAAAAAAAATAAATAAAAAAAACAGCAAAAAAAAAAAAAACACAAAAAACTGTGAAAGGAAGAAATGAGGTGATTTTTTAAAGATGGAGTAGGATAAAAAGAAATGAATCATTATCAACAATGAATAAGTGAGATTCCACGGAGGCAATAGTAAACAATTAGTTCATTAATCTCCAGTGATGCTTTAAAGAGAGTAACTAAAATGCAGGACAATTTTCTTTTGTATTGAGGTTTATTGATATATTCAATATAAAACCTAAGTGTACTAATACTACAAAATAAGATGATAAAAACAACTTTTTATTTAAAATGAAGGAATTATTGTTAATGTGTTTGCAGTATTTATGTCTCAACAGCTCGACAGCTGCACATAGACACCAAACGTACAGTACATACTGCATGTCTGGCTGTGTGAACAACATGTAATCATCTGCATGTCTCGACTAATCAAATTTTATCTGAGATATTTTACAACAAAACGATTCCTAAAAAATGTTTGACCTGAAGACTAGTTACAGCTCCTGTCCACCAGAGGGTGAACTCGCACCTTACTTACTCATTTCCGCTTTCATTCATATCTTTAACTTCTATCACACTCTGTTTTAATGTCTTTTTTAACTCCAGCTTTAAATCATAATAGTATGTTGAATTTGATGTGATATTTAATATACAAAATATCTGTGTTTTTCTTACTTGGCAATTCTTTTCTCAATACCAGTGTACCTCTGGAATCTCATTAGGCCTGAACGGGTCCCCAAGAATGCTGTTTCTACCCCGTCCTCCATACTGAGGGAGAGGGGTACAAAAAGAAAGAGGAGAAGGAGGTAAAGAGGGTCAAGGTAACTATTAATACAATGAGTAGTCATATAAAGGAAATCATGTTTTAATTGTGGGTGTGCATATGTAATCTATCCTCCTCCCCTCTTCACCCTGAAGTGTCAGGCATAAGGGCAGTCCAGTAAGCTTCCATAGGAGCTGTGACCACAGCATCAAACAGTTGCAACAGCTCCACATCACCTGTAGAGAGAAACCAGAAGGAAGAAAACATTATTCTAATGCTAATGTTAGCCAAGGACAGAGGAATATAAAGCAAGAAACAAAGACGGGGGAAGACAAAAAGAAATATTAAGCAATAAATGCAGTCAACAATTAATGTGTTAGTTTCAATACTTCATTGTTTGTATCCAAGACACTTCAAATATAACCTGATTTACAGTAAACTGTTGATCTTGTAGAGCTTTTATAATGAGTTAATCATAAAAGATCAGAAGAAAAAAGCTGACTTGACTTTTCTTTGGTTTCCAGTACACATGTAAAGATTGAGAATCTATTTATCATTTCCAAACTTGACAGGGAATATACTGCAAATGAAGTCTCAACTCACACTCCAGATCTGGGTCTTTGCCAGTGAGGTACTCAACCACAGCTTGTAGCTGGCTCAACTTGCGATGGGCTGGGTCAATGTCTGTCTTACAGTTTGTCCTAGAAGTAAAAATCTAAAAAAGGGTCAATTTGACCTAGACGCAACACAAGGGTTAAATTTGATTGTATTTACATCTATTAAAAAATGTATTATAAAAATGGTATATGGTATGCATCTCCATTTAAAACTGGGTAGTTTTGCTGACATCTAAACTTTAGGTTTTTTCAATCTTACATGTCACTTGCTAAGTTTGCTTAACACCAGTAACACTGAAAGCAATGTTTGTCAAAGTCCTCTAATCTTGATTTACCTATTTTAATTCACCCACTCCATTGATAGAAGCTTGATAAACGATTTAGCACACAAAGTTAGTCATAACTGGCTTTATTTGCAGACTCACCCATTGTTCTGCGACACCGTTTCTCATGTTTCCATAGTTCATCTGTTATGAAGAACCCATAGCAAATGTCGCATGGCAAATAATCTTCTGCATTTGCATGTTTTGATGGCTGTCTATAGGTTACTATCTCGCCCTCACCCTTCTGCAACACCTCAATGTTATGATAATAATTTCCCTTCCTACGAAGTTGCTCAAATGTTTGGCGACACTTTGATGTTGATGGAAGACACATTGCTAGGGCCACTTCTGTTTCACTGCTGTGTTTCCGCTTCAGATGCCGTGCCAATTAACTTTGTGTTTTTTTGCAGTATACACAGTAATGACGCTTGTCCCACTTTCTTTTTTGACCCTTGTGGCAGGTTTTGACTGTAACCACTGAACAAAGAACCAAAGAACAAGCAGATTAGAATAGTAGTTATTCAAATAATGAACCTATAAAGTTTTCCAGTTGGGCTGCATTGCTGTAGCCCACAACAAAATAAAAAGCATAAATATATACATACCAATTCCTCTTGTGCCTTCCTTTTTCTGTTCATCATCTGTAAAATTCAGAGTAAATTTGAAACATATTGACAATGTTACAGAAAAACCGTTACAAATAAAGCATACATCAGCTTTATTTTCCTGCATAAAGTTGGCATATCTTCAAAGACAATTTAAATAGCTTTAACTTGTGAGCCTCTATTTAAAGAAATAACTCAAAGCAAACATTA